CCGCGCGGCCCGCCGCCGCACGGTCGTGGGGCCCTCGGAGGCCCCCGCCGCCCGAGACGTCCTCGGAGCGCAACCCCGAGAAATCTCCGACCCGGAGCCGTGCGGTGACCCCGAAGATCCCCACGGGCTCGCCGCACGGGCGTGGTCACCACCCCGCCTGGGGGCCCCCGAAGGGAGCCGTCTGGGCGGAGAGGTGCCCCGGGCAGTGGCCGAAACCCCCTGGGGCAGGAGAGGCCGGGGATCGAATCGACACGCCGGCTCGGCGATCGAGACGAACCGGATCGGCGGACATCGGCAGCAGGACGAGGAGGAGGAGAAGGAGGAGGAGAAGGAGGAGGAGGAGGAGGGTCGGGAGGAGGCGGATCGGCGGACATCGGCAGAACAGTGAGGCCTCCGTCGAGGAATCCGAGCCCGAGGCGGAATGTGAAGCCGAGTCGGATCGGAGTCGAGTCGGAATGCGAAATCGAATCGAATATCGAAACGAGCCCACCTGGCGCCGCGGATGGAACAAAGATCATGTCGGCGGATGTCTGTGACGACCTACCGAGACCACCCCCACCCAACCCGAAGACCCAAAGACCCGAAGGTGCACGGGTTGGGTTGGAGTGGAGCAGGCCTTGAGGCAAATGGAGGCAAATTGAGGTCAAATTGAGGGCAAACGGAGGCACTGGAAATGGAGGGCAAATTGAGGCCTTCGAGTTGGGTTGGAGTGGCTTGGTGGGTGGTTGAGCCTGGACAGCACTGCCTCCGCAGAGGCCCCGCAGGGCCACAGGTGGGCCGGGCCTGTAGTCGAGGCCCACGCGGGCGGGGCCACCGCAAACAGGGGCGGCATCAGAACATCATCAGCAAGGGGGTGGGGGGAGGGGCTTCGCGCGGGTGCCCTTGAAACCCACAACTGCCGCGGCGAGGTGAAGGGGGGGGACGATGGAGGCATGACGGAGGATGGAGAAGGGAAGGGGAGCAGGTGCATCATTTCGAGCAAAGGTGACCGTCGTACCCTGGCCTTGCCAAAACTACGCAATGCGAGCGTTGTTTTTCACGCGGCCATTGCTCTGCGCATTCCTCGCACCGCTCGCAGTCCCTCGCCCAATCAAGCCAGTGTGCAGCCCATACCCGAGAGAACTGTCATTCGCATCTGCGCGCCTCCTCAAAAGTGAACCCAACGTTGCAAACCGTGCCTGCATCTTGAGCACCCGATCTGACATGCCGTGATCGCCATGTCGTATGCTGCGTCGATCTGCGGACCGATTGAGGGCCTCCACCGCATCAACCTCCTTATAGCGTGTGTGTGTGTTTGCGTGTGTGTGTGTGTGTGTGTGTGTGTGTGTGTGTGTGTGTGTGTGTGTGTGTGTGTGTGTGTGTGTGTGTGTGTGTGTGTGTGTGTGTGTGTGTGTGTGTGTGTGTGTGTGTGTGTGTGTGTGTGTGTGTGTGTGTGTGTGTGTGTGTGTGTGTGTGTGTGTGTGTGTGTGTGTTTGTCCACGCATTGCAGACGTAATCAAAAAGCCGCTGCGCCAGGGGCCACGTGCCCGGAAGTGTGCAGAAAGGCTGGCAGGACGCGCCTCCGGAGCAAGACCAGGCGATTGCACAACGATGGGCGCACGCCAAGCTCATCAGGGATCTGTGCCGATCCGGCGCGCGGGCGCCAGGGCAGGGATCGGGAAGGCATCCCCGAAGCCTCACGCCAGCGCCGCCTGCTCTGGCAACTCAGCTCGCCGATCCTGCACGGGAGCGGTGCCCGTCGCTGATCCGCGCGCAGTAGTCCATGTTTGCGTTTCCGGAGGACACAGTGAGAAGAAGCACGCATCTCACCACCACCACATTTGGGGGGTGCAAGCGTTGCCGCCGTGTGGGACGCGGGTATGCACAGGTGCCCACGTACGCACTGCCAGCGCGTCTCGCGCTTCTGTGCCCGTTCCAGTTGGAGGGGGCACAGAAGCGCGAGGGGGGATTGAGGGTAGAGGCCACCTAGATGGGGTCCGAGTCGATGGGGTAGGAGGATGGCGCCGCATCGGCGATGCATCGGCGATTCATCGGCGATGCATCGGCGACGTCGGCGATGCATCGGCGACGTCGGCGTGGGGAAACATGGTCTCCGCATCGAGCAGCGTCGTCGATGCATCGGCGATGCGGCGCGATCCTCCGACCCTATCTACAGTCGACCCGTATCATAAGGATGCGCGGTGAGGATGCAAGGGCCCTGGAGGGCCATGTTGACGTTTACTCGAGCGAGGTTGACCAGCGAAAGTGGCCAAAGATCGGCCGAAGTGGCAAGGATTCGAAGAAGAAAAAGCGCCATAAGCGTAAACTGTTGGCGCTCCGCGCAGATTGCTGGGATCTGCGCTGGACCCCCCTCCCTGGCGCGCGGAGTGAACCAGGGGCGGCGCCGAAGGCGCCGCCAGGGGGGCCCAGCGCGGATCCAAGAAATCCGCGTGGAGCGCCAAAAGGTTCGTTTACGGCGTTGTTTCTTTCACGAAGGACGCCAGGGCCTCTGAGGGCCATGTTGACGCTTTTTCGGACGAGGTTGGCCAGCGAAAGCAGCCAAGAACGGGGCGAAGGGGCAGGGGTGCAAGGGTACCCTTGGAAACGTTGCCCATCGTTACCATGCCAAAGGTTTCTACGTTTGGGAAGGTTGCCAAACGACTCAAAGAAAGGTACCCTTTTGGGTCGATTGGAGGGGGAAGAAGGTGCCGCCGTCAGTGTCCCCTCGGATTCGCCGGTCCGTCGGGCCAGCCTCGCCACCGTGCCTCGGCTCCTCCCTCCTCCCACTCCTCCTCCTCCTCCTCCTCCTCCTCCTCCTCCTCCTCGTCCTCCTCCTCCCCCCCTTCCTACCCCTTCCCTTTCCTCCCTCGCCCTCCTCCTCGTCCATCCTCCCTCGGCCTCCTCCTCGTCCCTCCTCCCTCGACCTCCTCCTTCGCACTCCTCCCTCTCTCTTTTCCTACTCCTCCTGCTCCTCCTGCTCCTCCTCCTCCTCCTCCTCCTCCTCTTCTCCCTCCTCCTCCTCTCCTTCCTCCTCTTCTTCCTCCCTCCTCCTCCTCCCTCCTCCTCCTCCTCCTCCTCCTCCTCCTCCTCCTCCTCCTCCTCCTCCTCCTCCTCCTCCTCCTCCCATCGCCCCTGCTCATCTCCGTGCTGCCTTGGAACGGGGGAAGCGGGTCCTGGTGGGTTCAAAGAACCCCAAGTGAGCCCTCCCCCAGCTTCCCATCCCGAGCCGCTTTCTGACAGCCTGGCCAGGGCTCAGGAAAAGACCTGGGAGGCCGAAAACGATGCAGAAAACAGCAACACCAAACTTCCTCCACCAAGCTCCTTCACTAGAAAAACAAAACGCTGCATTGACATCAATGTTCGGGAGATCGCGCGGATTCCTCGGATCGGCCCTGCACATCGCCTCCCCCACCCCACTCATCTTGGTGCGCGGAGAGCGCCAGCGGAAAGGCGGGAGGAGCCGCCAGGGGGTCCCAGCGGAAATCCCAGAAATCTGCGCGGATCTGAAGACAAATGATGTAGATGTCTCCCGAATGGTATCCGAGTAGATGGGGTCGGAGGATCGCGCCGCATTGCCGATGTATCACCGATGCATTGGCGATGCATCGGCGACGTCGGGGATGAATCGGCGACGTCGGCATGGAGAAGCTCGGGCTCCACATCGCGCCGCATCGCCGATGCCATCGGCAGCGCGACCCTGCGACCCCAGCCGCCCGGACTCCCTGCGGGCGGCCTGGAGTATGATCGCGGGCAGTCGTCTTCTTCTTCTTCTTCGACTCGTGGCGTGCCCCTCCCCGGCGGAAACGTTGCCCCCCAGCAGACCTCGGCCTTGAGGAAGGCCTTGACGTCAACCTCGAACTGCTTGTCGGCGGAGTCGGCGATGCTGTCCAGCCGCCTCTTGTGGTGCGGCCAGCGGGCGGCGCGGGGATGCGGAGGCTCCACAAGAAGGCCGCGAGAGGCCCAAGAGGTGCCTTACTACGACGATGCGACACGAGGAGGCCAGCGGCGGTCACGCACTCGAAAGGCGCAACAAAGGACCCGGGCACAAGAAGGAACACCGAAAGGTGGAGGGGGAAACAGGAGGCCTGATGTACCTCCTCCTGCCTCTCCTCCTCTCCTCCTTCTCTTCCTCCTCCTCCTTCTTCCCCTCCTCCTCCTCCTCCTCCTCCTCCTCCTCCTCCTCCCCCTCTTCCTCCATCCTCCTCCTCCTCCTCCTCCTCCTCCTCCTCCTCCTCCTCCTCCTCCTCCTCCTCCTCCTCCTCCCCTGAGCTACAAGGATGGAGTGCGGCTCCTTGTCAAAATGGGGCTGCTGCCACAACGCCGCGCATAATAATGCCAAAGGGCAACAGCAACTACAGGGATGGAGAGCAAGTCGTTCTCAACATGGGGGCCTTGCTTTTGTGACGCACAGGTGCGTCTGAAGAGCTTTCGTCAGCGGCAGGGATGGAGAACGGTTGCGTTCCTACATGGAGCTCGCCTTCGCGCGCAGTCGCACCACAGCTCTCCACAATTACAAATATTGACTGGGGCGACATCGGGAGACTCCCTTTGCATTCCTGGCCAGAAGGGCCAACTTGTGCAACACACGCGCGGATGACGGGGTCCGCTCGCAACACGGGAATCTCCCTGGCCATCTCGTAAACCTGTAGGATCAACGCGCCAGAAAGATGCAAAGCCATTCATGTTCGAAGCGAAGCACTTGCCTGAATGGAACGCCCATGGGGTGCTGGCCGCTCGAATGGGGGCGCTTTGTAGTGAAACCAGGAAAGTTATAGGAATGCCTAACGGGGGGGGAATTCGGGCCTCGAGTGTACATTGCAGCACCGATGGTGCATGGTGGGTGTTCTCTGGTCCTGCTCCTTCTCCTCCTCCTCCTCCTCCTCCTCCCCCTTCCTCCACCGATAGCCCCCTCCCCACCATCCCAAGGGCTCGCACCCCAGATAGAACAGCGATTTGTGCAATGGCTGAGCCAGGCTGTGGCCGATCGTTTTGCCACGAAGACGCTTCCAACACGAAGGGGACAACGACAGTTCGCCGTAGGCGTCGTCGATCCATGTCGGTAAACCGACTGTGCAGATTCAAAGACTGTGCATCAGCCTCGACCTGCACTGCATTTCCTGCACCAATCTAAGGCAGTTCGCAAAATCTGATCTGTCATTGAATGCTTCTATCATGTCCTCCCCAGACAACGGGATGAGAGGTATGGCGACCCCATCCCCGACGCTGCGGAGTTCCTGACTGGACAAACCATGGAGGTCCAACCATGGGATACACGATGCCCTCCGATGTACGACCGACTTCATCGCACGACTGCTATCCGACCATGCGTTTACTGCAGTCAACCCGTAGAATAAGGTCGCACGATAAGGATGCGAGGGTCTTGGAAGGCCATTGGGGTAAGGCCAACGAAAGTGACCAAGGATGGACCGAGGAGGCAAGCATTCAAGGGTACCCTTGGGCATGTTGCCCATCCTTGCTATGCGGGTTGACTGTGCTCTCCCTGCTCTCCAGCCGTCTACACCCACGGTGCCTCTGAGCAGCTTTGTGAGCGTCGCTGACCTCCTGGCCCCGCACAGGTGGGGCGCGGCAGCGGCGGCATTTGCGAAGAACAACCGCCCACCAGAACTCAAAGCTGGCACGCGCGGGGAAGACTGCGATCGAAGTGCAACTCACCCAACCCACCGCCAACATTGATCACTGGGGGGGGCATCGGCAGATGAATGTGGCATGAGTGTTCGCTAGTTTCTTCCGAGGCCTGGAGCACCCCCACACACACCACATGTTCCTCCTCCCTAGAAGGGGGTGGGCGGGGAGGGGGGTATATCGCGTTGGTATCGCTGCTGCGAGGCACCATCACGATCGGGGTCGAGAATCTCTGGCCTGGCCTCAGAGGGGGAAGGGAGGCCAGGGGGCAATGCATGTGCGACCTATCTGCCCAGTACAACATGCACCCGACAACCGAAGCCCCTTAGCAGTTGGGCGGGAGACTTCGAGCAGAACATGGCTGCTGTTTGGTACACCAGCAAGACTGTTCAGTAAACGCCAGTTGGGCGGGTCGCGGTCTTTTTGTCCTCCAGTTACTTGGCAGCAGCGGCGGCGGCGGAAGCAGAGATGGCACCGTCAAGATAGGGCATCCGAGGGCCGCCCTGAAGTACCAGGGGCGGGGGGGGGGGCCTCGGACAGGCGTCTGACACGAGAACGGCCCCTACACCGCACCACGTCTGGGCGCTCCCCTCGGGCCCCGCTCTGGCGCGGCACGCTGCACACCTCTGCGGCTCCGAGGGGTCAAAACTTGCGCCCTCTCCTCCCTCTCCTCCTCCTCCTCCTCCTCCTCCTCCTCCTCCTCCTCCTCCTCCTCCTCCTCCTCCTCCTCCTCCTCCCCTCCTCCTCCTCCTCCTCCTCCTCCCCCTGCTCCTCCTCCTCCTCCTCCTCCTCCTCCTCTCCTCCTCCTCCCCTTCCTCCTCCTCCCGCCCGCCCGCCCGCCCGCCCGCCCGCCCGCACGCACGCGACGTGCGAGGATCGCCGGGCGCCTCGGGAGACGCCGACGCGGCAATCGCGGCGCACCCGAGGCGCCCGCGGACCGGGCTGTGCCCCGGGGAGGGGAGCCCCGGGCGGGCGCCATCCCTTCGCCGGTGCGGGGGGAGTCCGCGCGGACATCCAGAAGGGTGTGCACAGCACAGCGTGTCCCCCCCAGGAAAAAAACAAATGCAGGGCACTTTTTTAAATACATCGGATTTGTAAGGTATAGGATCTTAAATCCATGATTAAGCTATGAATACATTTATGCATGAACTCATCGTTGTTGTGAATGCTGAATCCCTGCATGTTTAATACATGATCCGCACGCGGAGCATGTATTAAAAACGGCACTGTACACTGACGCAGCCTGAACCCCCCCCCCCTGGTGCGCGGAGCGAGCCAGCGGCGGCGCCGGAGGCGCGAGGTAGCAGGGGGTACTTTTTTTCGCCCAAGCTTGCTTCAAGAGGGCCTCGGGCCTCAGAGAGCCCAGGATGACGTCCAAGATGGCTCAAGGTAGCCCAAGATGCCTCTAGTCGGCCCCCAAGATGCGCCAAGAGGCCCCAATAACGCTCCAAAGCGGCTCGAAGACACCTCCGAGACCTCCAAGGAGGCCTCCAAGAAGCCAAACTCCGTCCAGAACCTTAGAAAAACAATGTTGTTTGCTTTCTCGTCGTTTCGCTTCCGACGGCCATCCGAGGCCTCAAGACGGCTCCAAGATGGCCCCAGGAGAGACCCAAGAGAGCCCCAATACGGTCTCGAGAGCGCCCAAAAGCGCTCCAAGAGCGCCCAATGAGCGCCCCAAGAGGCGACGATCGAAGACGACGAGGGCGTGTACCGAGGGTTTGGGATATACCTATTGATTAGCACGTGAGCAGATAGGAGCGAATAGTCTTAAAATGGTTGTTGTTGTTGTTGTTGCTCCTGTTCCTGTTGTGATTGTTGTTGTTGTTGTTGTTGTTGTTGTTGTTGTTGTTGCTGTCATTGTTGTTTGTCGTTGTTGTTGTTCGTTCTTTGTTGTTTGTCCTTTGGTGTTTGTTGTTTGTGTCGTCGTCCCCCCCCCGCGACCTGGCCCGCGACCCGCCTGCGACCCGGCCGGTGAACCACCCGCGACCCGCCCGCGACCCGCCCTCGACCCACACCGCGACCCGCCCCGCGAGCCACCGGACCCACATGCGACCCGTCGGCGAACCACCCGCGACCCATCTGCGACTAGGCCCGCGACGCGCCCCTCGAGCCGCCCCGCGACCCACATGCGACCCATTGGCGCACCACCCGCGACCCATCTGCGACTAGGCCCGCGACCCACCTGCGACCCACCCGTGACCCAGCCCGCGACCCACCCACATTGCTCTCATGAGAAAATCGGCGCCTGCGGCAGGTTCCTTGCAAAAATCCTAAAAATTGAGCGCCTGCGGCGGGCTTCCTCGGAGCCGCGAAGACTGTTGACGTCTGCGCCGCGACAACCGGCGCTTGCGGCAGGCTCGTTGCAAAAGTCCTAAAAGTTGAGCGCCTGCGGCGGGCTTCCTCAGAGCCGCGAAGACTGTTGACGTCTGCGCCGCGAAAACCGGCGCCTGCGGCAGGCTCGTTGCAAAACTCCTAAAAGTTGAGCGCCTGCGGCGGGTTGCCTCAGAGCCGCGAAGACTGTTGACGTCTGCGCCGCGAAACCGGCGCCTGCGGCAGGCTCGCTGCAGAAGTCCTAGAAGCGCTTGCGGCGGGCTGCCTCAGAGCCTCGAAGACTGCCGACGTCTCCGCCGTCCCCTCGCTCTTATGCGCAACTGCGGGGTGTTACGTGCGTGCTCTCAACGCCCGATGGGTCACGATGGTGGACGTGGAGACCTGCCATTGGTGCCCTCGCGGGGCGTCACGCTGCCGTCCCCGCCCAGACGCGTCGGGCCTTCCAAGCAGTCCGTGCCATCCCCGCTGCCCGTGAATGGATCTACTCTTACCAGATCGTGGCGTCCCTTCCTTCGCCACTCGAACCTCCTCGCCCTGTTTTCACGAACGAATCGAATAACCCCAGGAACCATTTAAGACCCCCCCCCGGCGATATCGTAGCACCGCATTTTTTATTCGATATTCCGAGGGGCCGAAATAACCGAACGATAGCTTTAGCATCCAGACACAAGAGTGTTCCTGGTGCCAGGTAACGCTTCCAGGGTGCGGAAGGGTTATCGATTTGCCGGATGGGGGGGGGTTCTTAAATGCTTCCTGGGGTTAGATGGAACATTGCGACCGCCGATACTCGTTGCAAGACCCAGCCGGCCGATCTTCCGAAGATCGTGCCAACCAACAAAAAAACACGAGCATGTCCGTTTGTGTTCACTGGCTCTTGCCCCTTCACTTAGGTACCTCCCAGTGGGTGTCCGAATGATTTCGTCGGAGGATCGCGGCGTATCGGTGGTGCATCGCCGATGCGTCGGCGATGCATCGGCGACGTTGGCGTTGCATCGGCGCCGTCGGCGTCGAGGACCTTTGGATCCACATCGGACCGCATCGCGGATGCACAGGCGATGAGGCGCAGTCCTCCGACCCCGTACGCTCGAACCCCATCTGGGAGGCCTAGAATGAGGTCGGGCACGCAAATAGAAAAATCAAAAAATTATGCAAAGTTGTCAAACAAACTAAAACATCGTGCCCTGACTATGTTTTGACATTTTGGGGATATTCCTCCTGTAGAGGGACATCCCCGACTTGAGCCTCGAACCATCCCCCCGTCCTGTTTTCGTTCAAGCCCTGCTCGTAGTAGGCGTTTATTGCATTCGGAGTCTCGACATTTGGCCGAAGGGTGTGGGCGAGGGGGGTGTCTGGGCCTGGGCCAGTGTCAGTCGATTTGCTTCTGGCAGTCGCGCCAGAAAACTGGTGGGAAGGGGCCCTGACCAGTCGCCAAAAGCAGCCAAGATCTGGTCCATTCGAGGCCCCCTAGATGGGGTCCGAGTAGATGGGGTCGGATGATCGCGCCGCATCGCCGACACAGCGGCGATTCATCGGCGATGCATCGGCGATGCATCAGCGATGCGCCGGCGATGCATCCTCGACGTGGGCGATGCATCGGCGAAGCCGACGTGAAGCAGATCGGCGATGCATCGGCGATGCATCGGCGATGCGGCGCGATGCTCCGACCCCATCTACTCCGACCCCACCTGGGAGGCCTAGATTTACGTCGGGCGTGTCCCCCTACAGGGGGATTTTGGACGAAGTATAAAAAATACACCAAAAATGCTCAAAAGATGCCCAATAATACTCAAAAACTAATTCCCGGATCATTCTTTGACTGTCTTTGAATCTTCCCCCCGTAGAGGGACAGGCCCGACATGAGCCTGGATCCATGGACAGGGGGGGGAAGGGGAGAGGCCCGGGGCCCGCGCCCATCCTGGCCGCTGGTTAGAGGGAGTTGTTGGGAGCCAGGGGGCGACAAATTCTCCAAACTCGTTGTGCGTGGAGGCGCGGCATGGGAGCCGCGCCAGGGCAATGTCGGGGCTAGCCAGGCAGTGTCCCCCGCGAAGCCCCAGCAGGGCTCACCCAACAACGGCCCACCCAACAACGGCTCCCGTTTTCTCGCTGCACGGCCCGCGCCAGAAGAAACGTCCCCGGCGCGCAAGCGCGCGCGCCGCCCGCCTCTCCGGCGACAGCGTGGCGGGCGAAGGCGGGACCGCGCCCTCGCCTCTCTCCTCCCGACGCCTTTCTCTCCGCTTGCCCTCGCTCGGACGCCGTTTTTGTTTGTGCTTGCGTCGGCTTCCTGCGCCCGTGCGTCGCACGAGGATCCCGCGTGCTCCTCGACGGTGCTCGCCGAGAAAAAGGCACGCGTCCGAGCGATGCCCAACTCCTCGTCCTCGTCATCCCTTCTCGTTCTCCGCCGGCTACTCCTCCTCCCGGAGGGGTCGGAGGGGTCGTTGATGACTGCATCGATTCTGTCCGCAAGCGCCATCATGTCCGCCGGGAGCATGTTCTTGCCCTGGGCAGCTGGCAGAGTTAGCAGGAGCACACAGGGCCTGCCCCCCCGGCCCTCTCCAGCACAGTCGAAATTTATAGTGAGGACGGACGGTAAAAGGACGCGAGGGCCTTGGACGCCGAAGGACTGGCACTATTGGGGCGACGGACTGCCAACTCTTGAAGGACTGGTCAGTGAAGCCCGCGAAGGATGGGCCGCAGATGCAGGGACGCAAAGGTACCCTAAGCAAATCCGCGTGTCCTTACTACGAGCTTTGACTGTACGCTCCCATGGGGTTCGGATTTCTGGAAATCGCGCAGGTGCAGGCTGTCGACAAGAATGACAGGATTGCCAGTCGTGGGGCAACTCGCCACCTCGAGTTGGGCAAAGGGGGAGAAAGCCCGACAACCAGGGGCGACCCTCCAGGCCCCCACCACAGCAGATGCAGATGGCCGCATCACATGCCCCACGGTCAGAAACCCAGCTGCGTATCCCCACGCGGAAGAACTAAGCAACTAGCACGCGGCATATGCGCAACAGACTTGCTCTGACACGGCGTGCTTCTGCACCGCAATCCACTGTTGTGAGTCCCCTTCCGAACGACTTCCGCTGGGGCAAGCGCATCCACCGCTGAGTTCGAAATCGCAGAAACTTTGAACTGGGCGCATGAAGACCGATTCCTCCTCACGTACTCCAGCTGCTCCACCCACTCCTGATGCGGCGGTTCCTCCTCCTCCTCCTCCTGTCTCTCGTTGTGATCCTCATGACGCTCCCCAGCTTCCCCCCTGCTCTCCCTCCAGGGCGAAGAGGCCACGGTAGACGAGAGGAGTGGCAGCTTGAAAGATGCGACTACAAAAAGGGGCAGGACGAGGAGGGGGTGAGCGAGGAGGCAAGGAGGAGTACTGAGGAGGATAGCGAGGACGAGGAGGAGGAGGAGCGAGGAGGAGGAGGAGGAAGAAAGGAGTAGGGGCGAGGAGGAGGAGGAAGAGGAGCGAGGAGGAGGAGGAGGAGGAGGAGGAGGAGGAGGAGAAGGAGGAGAAGGAGGAGGAGGAGGAGGAGGAGGAGAAGGGGGGGAGGCGGAGAAAGAGGAGGAGGAGGAGGAGGAGGACGGGGAGGAGACAGAGGAGGAGGAGACAGAGGAGAAGGAAAAGAAGGAGGAGGAGGATGATTAAGGAGAGACCGGAGGCTGGGCTAAGACGGAGAAGCGGGGGCGGCAAACAAGGACCCCCGTCCCCCCCAGCCCCTGACCGCCCATCTCACATCACGCCTGCGGCCTGCGCTGGGCCGCTCTGCCGCACGGCCCAGCCTGGCGGGCCGGGGCCGTGCCCGTGAACCCGAACAAAAAATAAAACAGGAGTCTAGGGGGCAAACAAACCTACCTCGCTTTTGACCACCCTCGCTTCCGAGAGATACCAAGCGATGCCAAACTACGGCCTGTGCTGGTCAGGCCGCTTGACGAGGAGGCGCGTGGTGTGACTTGGTTTTGCCTGGAAGCGAAAGCGGGGTAGGTAATGCACGCTCTGAGAGTCGAGGCCCAAGCCGGCGAGCAGAACCACATCGAAGCGGATGGTCCAAGCGGCCCCGGCTGTTGCCGTGAAACTCCTGCGCGACGGGGGTCTGAGATCCTGGCGTCGCCGCTGTTTCCCAACCAGCGCTTCCCGGCGCCGGGCCCCGGGACCCTCAGAGATCGATCCTGCTCGACAAGTGGCGCAGAGGGATGGGGTCCGGAACGCTCTGGTGGTGATTTGCCGGGATGCCGCATGTGTTCTGCAACGTCAAATCTGATGGGACAGCCCCAAGTGTTCGCGACCCCGCCCTCGGGACGATCGCCATTCTCGCCGTGGACATCTCTTCCTGTCGATCATCCTCGGACGGGGTAGCTGCGCCACGAAAATATATACACAGACGCCCGCCGACGAATCTTGCCTGTACCTTCAGGGGGGCGGCAGTGGATAAAGTCGTTGGCTCCCAGTGGTGATTTCTAAACCGCCACCTTCCCCATTATACCCTGGAGCAATCCACTGGAGGTTGTCTGCGCGGGTGTGCGTGTATACATATATATATATATATATATACGTACACATGTATATTTATATACGCACGCAGATACATACACACATACATTCACGACAATAGTTGTACGAATCAAACGAATACCTGTTTAGATGTAGATGTGTCACGGAACAACTTCGGGCGAGGCCGGGGAAACTGATTCTGGAGCGCTCCAGGAAGGCACAAGCCGGCCCCAGATGGCCCCCTGGGGGCCTCAAGATGGCTCGACGCGCGCCCCAAGACGGCCACGATGGGCCCAGGATGGCCTGAAATGGGGCCAAGATGACCACTCGCCCAACGAGCTTCCCAGGTGGCCGAAGGGAGCCCGAAAAGGCAACCGGTTTTCCTTAGGAGTGAATTCAATTTTCGCAAACTCGGCAGCTCGGTCTCCAGAGCGCTCGAGACGGCCGAAGAGGCCCCCGAAATCGCTCCGGGATGTCCCAATTGGCACCCAAGAGAGCCCCGAAACGAGCCCAGGGCGGCCCGAGAGGGGCCCAGACAGCCCCAAGACGCTCCAACAGGTTCCCCGAAGGAGCTCCATACGGCCCAACAAAGCCCCAACACAACCAAAGCAGGCCTCCAGACCGCCCCAGAGCAACCGCACGGGGACCCCAAGATTGCCATGATGGACCAAGAATGATTTGTACGTTACTCGATGCCTTCTCTTGAAATCTGAAATGGCTGCGGAGACGCACGCAGTTCTGCTACGATACACATGGTGCGTACATTTCCCCACGCTCCTCCTACGCCTCGGGCGAGCAAATCCTCGCACACGGCGTTCGCCTCCTCCACGTGGCTGTACAAACCGAGGGGCGGAGCGGGGATTCATGACCAGCCCCAACCCAGCCCGAACACCCGAATTTCGGGTTGGTGAATTCTGTGTTCAGCAATGTTTTAGCAATGATCCCTGCACCCCCCCCCATTGAGAAAGGGGGGCAAACTGAAGCCTTGCGGTTGGCTTGGGGTCGTCTGGTGTGTGGTGGTATCAGGCGTCCCTGGGAGTCCTGCGGAGGCTCGCTCCCGGGGAGATCCACGGGAGGGCCGCCTCCTCGAGGTGGTGGCGACCCCTGCCAACGGTGCCCCCTCTGATCCCACGCGACGACAAAGAGTTGCCACAGGGCGAAGAGTCACGACCGGAGCACGGGACCCAACATTTCTGCGCCAACTTTCGAGCAGGATCGACCTGCCATGGCCTGGGCGCCCGGGCCCCAGCGGAGAGGCCCGGGGCGAAACGGATTCCACAACGGGAGCTCAAGGCCCGCCAGTGGGCGACCATCCTCCCCTTGTCGGCGGCGAGCCTTGGGGGAAAGCGAGAAGTTGAGGAGAGGCCGACCGTCCTGGCATTCCTATAGGCCTGCCACGAAATTTCTCAGAACCCCAACATGTTTTAATAACCAAAGCACTGTTCTTAGAACATAGAACCGATGTGTTAAAACACGACGGTCCCAGCCGGAAATGTTCAAACAACATTTCGTGGGAACCACAAAAAGCTTCTTAGAACATTGTGTGGTAGGCCTATAGGCACACTAGGACGCTTCGCCACTGCTTGAAGAAGGGTCGGGCCTTCCCAGAAGGCTCGGAAGTCCCCGGGCCTTTTGAGAAGTTTTCTCGGCCTCCCCCGAAGACGCAGAAAACCTCCAACAAGGCGCGAGGGCTTCTGAGAAGTCCCGCCGCCTTCTGAGAAGGCCTCCTCCCTCTCACTACCCCCCTCGCCCGCCGCCGCCCTTGGCATTGCCCCGGTACCCACGGCTCCGAGGGCATGGCAGCCAGGGGGGCGGATATCCAGATCGGAGGCTGGCGCAAGGGGCCTTCGAGTGCAAATTCTCGACCTGGGCCTCCGCCCTGCACACGCCCTGCGCGGCGGAGCCAGGAGGCGCCGACCGGACCCCTGGCATCCCCCCTCGTCCTGCCTCGTCCTCGTACCCTCTTCGTCCCCCTCGTCCCCCTGCCCCTCCTGGGCCGTCCTCGTCGTCCTCTCCCCCTCGTCCTCCCTCGTCCTCCTCCCCCCCTCGTCCTGCCTCTCCCCTCGTCCCGCCCTCGTCCGCCTCCTCACGTCCTTCCACGTCCTCCTCCCCCCCCTTGTGCTGCCTCGCACCTGCGACCCCTTCCCTTCCCCGTCGTGCCGATCGGGCTCGGCTCCAGCCACGGCCTGCCCTTCACTACCGTCATCCTGGCCATCGCTCGGACGTCCATTCCCTGTGTTTTTTTGTCGGTTTCGTGCGTGGTTTTCGCCAAATGATCAAGGATGCTCCTCGATGGTCCTCGCCGAAGGAAAAATGCACACGTCCGAACGATGCCAAGCATCCTCCCTGGGAGCCACGAGAGACGCACGCGCAAAGCCATGCACACGAGCGCGGCCCGTCCGCGAGGCCAGCCTCGTCTGACGAACGTTCGCGCCGCAGTGCGTGCTTTCGAACTCCAGGAACCTTCATGTACACGTACGGTGTTTCTCGCTCCTGACATCCCTCATCCCTCATCCCTCCTCCTCCTCCTCCTCCTCCTCCTCCTCGTTCCTCCTCCTCCTCCTCCTCCTCCTCCTCCTCCTCCTCCTCCTCCTCATTCCTCCTCCTCCTCCTCCTCCTCCTCCTCCTCCTCCTCCTCCTCCTCTACCGACGCCGAGCGGGAATCCTGCCAAAGCTCCTTCTCCTGCCACAGGCGTCGATTGGACTCCAACGTCCTCGCGCCATCCGCCGTCCTTCATCTCTTCTTCCTTGAGCACCGTGTGACCGATCCCACGTCCAGGTGGCGTGGCCTTGGCCCAGCTGGACGGCCTACCCACCGAGGTTAGGATATCTGTGCCTGTTCCTTCGGGGCTCGCGGGGGCTATTTCAACCTTGGTGGGTGGCCTGGTGGGACTGACATGCAATGAGCCAGTCAGGATGAGGCTGGTGTCGACGATGCTGACTACTCGCTCCTTCGCCTGATGCCCCTCTTCCCCTGCCCCTTCGCCAAAGCCACAAAAGGGTCTCCCGATCGTCCCGTCTCATGCTCCTCCCCACTCCGCCTCCTCATCCACCATCTCTTCCTCCTGCTCCTCCTCCTCCTCGTTCTCCTCCTCCTCCTCCTCCTCCTCCTCAACCTCCTCCTCATCCTCCTACTCCTCCTTTCCACCCCGTTGCTTTACCACTCGGCGCGCCAAGGAACCAGGCACATGTTCCTGTATAAGAGTGTCAGATGAGGTTGGCCGAACCAGGACAACTCATCGCTGCCACTTGTCCAGTCGCAGATGGAGAACGTAGTGGCGACCCCCTAAGTGCTGGGCAAAACGGAGGGGGCTGACACCCACCGTCGCTACTGAGATAGTGCGGGCGGGCCGATGAACGAGATCGCGGGGTGCGACGTTCAACGCGCGCCAGCGACACCCCGCGTCATGGCGCTGCGCCCAACACGGTTCCAACGCGGCGTCTGGATAAGGGGGATTGCTTTCGGGGGGCGATAAATGCGGAGCGGGGCAGCGTGCGCCATTCGTGGATGTTGTTGGGCCCGCGGTGGCCGTTTAGAAGGCTGTTCAGGGCCTCTAGCAACGAACGTGGGGTGGAAGGGCGCGCGCCTGTCGTGCATCTGTTCTGCGGCAGTCCGCGGTGGAAGATTGTTGGGCACCTGCAAGGGCGCGCGGTGGTTGCGTGTGCGGGAAGGGGGGCTGAGAGAGCGCGGGGGGAGGGACGTGGTAGGGAAGGGGAGGGAAGAGGAGGGAGGAGCGAGGGAGCGAGATGAGGAGAAGGAAAGAGGACGGAGGCAGGGAAGAGGAGGAGGGAAAGAAGGACTGGGACGCGCGAGGAGGAAAGGAGAAGCGAGGGGGACGATTGATGGACAAGGACAGAGAAGATATCAAGGGGAGCCTCGTCGGCGGAATCGACTACCTTTCCCGCTTCCCGCACCTGCTTCTGCAGGCGCTCTCTCATGTTGTTGAGGATCTGCTCCTGGGCACGCGCGGCAGCGGCGGACGCCCACGCCACCCGTCCAAGGGGGGCCGAAGGGAGTGGGGGCTCGGGGCGCACGCGGGGAGAAGGGCGGGCGGAGGGCGAGGTGGGGCGGCTGAGGGTGATGGGGGAGGCGAGGGGGGAGAGAGGAGGAGGAGGAGGAGGAGGAGGAGGAGGAGGAGGAGGAGGAGGAGGAGGAGGAGGAGGAGGAGGAGGAGGAGGAGGAGGAGGAGGAGGGTGGGGGTGGGGGCAAGCTCGTGCGCCTGCGGCGCATCTGACATCTTGCCCCTCCCGCCCATCCCTTTCCGTGGCGCGGGTGTTCCTCTATATCCGCGGGCGCGTGCCATCACCGACCTGCGACTCCCGCCGCAGAAAGACCGAGCAGGAGGATGAGCGGGAGGAAGAAAGACAAGGACCAACGGCGGCAGCAGGACATGGAGTGGAAGAAGCGGGTGGGAAAGGAGAACCGGGGGAAGGCGGAGGAGGGGAAATGAGGGGGGGCGACAAAGATGAATAACGGCTCGGATTCGGAAAAGTGGTCCGCACTGGGGCGAGACGAACAGCTGCAGCAGGAACTGGAGTGGAGGGAGCGGAGAAGGGAACAAAGCGCCAATCCGAAAAGGAGGCCCACGCAGCAGCGGGAGCACCGTTATGAAACAACGAAAACAATCGGACTGCTACGCAAACGTAAAAAACGTGTTGCTGTCGTGCGTAACAAAACAGCACTCAGAGGGGGCGGGAGACCTTGCCGACAACTTCAGGGAAGGAGGGAGAGTAGTATTCAGATTGTTTTGCTTGCAGAGACACAGAGAGCGAAACATATCGGGGAACAAACAATAGCACAAACATGATCTTGTGGAGGACCGCGCGGACCTCTTGCATCGGCGCTGGACCCATCCTTCCCTGGAGCGCGGAGCGCGCAGAGGGCGGCGCCGGAGGCGCTGCCATGGGGGCTCCAGCGCGTGCGGGCCTCCGGACAATCGCGTCTACGTTCCCCGAAGAGAGGACCAGGTGAGGAGATGTAGAACAGGGGGAGAGACATGTATGAAGGGGCCCTGGGACACACCAATAAATACACACAAATGACAGGATCCCCCATATTTTGACATATGTTGTAAGTTTCTGTCTTCCCCCCCCCCCCACTTCCCATCTTTTCCCATATGCTCTGGGGAATCGCCGATGAATTGTGTCTGCGTGTTTCTTCCCCTCCTGCACGTAGACAGAGAGAGGGAGATGCACGCGCGTCGTCAGGACGCGCATGGCTGCTTGGGGCGCATGCCTGCGCGCGCGGGCCGGAGACGGTGGACAGTCGTCCTCTCGGTGTCCTGTCGGCAGTGGCCGTTGGGGGGCTGGTGCGTGCATGTCTCTCGACCTGTCCGGTGCAGCAGGTCTATGAAGGGGCCCCAGGACACACAAATAAATACACACAAATAAAAAGATTCTCCATATTTTCCCATATGTTCTGGGTTTCTGTCTTCCCCCCCACTTCCCATATTTTCCCATATTTTCTGGGGAATCGAGGATTAATTGTGTCTGTGTGTTTTTTCCTCTCCTGAGTCTACGGAGCAGCCCGTGGAGCGACACATTTTTTGGTCGGCGGGTCGAGAGCGGCCTCTTCCGGTTGAGAGCTGGGCGGGGCGCGCGAAACACAAATCGGGGAGACCAGGGCGCGGGCGGGCGGGGCCGGAGGGTGCGGAGAACAGGCGGTGCCGAAGAGCTTGCACAGGAAAAGGTACGCCTTGGACAGGAGCCGGGGGCGAAGTCACCCGTGGAGCAACACATGCGGTGCATCGTATCGGGTGCAGGCAAGGTTGGACAACCCGTGCCGTGTCATGCGGTCGAGTTGCTAGCCATTGAGGGATGCCAGACGGGGAGCGGAGGCTTCGTTCCCCACCCGGCCAGAGCGCCCGACGCGACTCGCCGCGGCCGCCATGTCCCGCCGGGGATCCCGCCGCGCGTCTTCGACGAATGACGTCAGCACGCCGCGGCAGCCCGGTCGCGGTCTTCGGCCCCGCAGATCCCCGAGAGGCCCGTGACGACATCATGAACGGAGCACATACTCATAATCTATGTCAGGACGCAAGGTAAGGATGCAGAAACCATGATAATCTCATGTTTACCATCAAGAGCTCCTTGGACGTCAACGCTGGCTCAGTAGGGGCCGAATGAGAAGGGATTCAGAGGTATCCTTGATGAAGTCGCGCAGCCTTACAATGCATGTGTGAGCGTTTACTGTTTCGGCGTTTGGGAACTGTGAAGGGGCCTGGGGACACACAAATATCGACCACAAATCACAGGATTCCCCATGAAGTCCTACATGTTCTGGGTTGTTATCTCCCCACCACACTTCCCATATTGTCCAACATTTTCATGGGAATCGACGAGTACTTGTGTCTGTTTTCTTTCACTCTCAAAACTGGGCGGAAAGGGGGGAAGAGGGGTTCTGGCCCTGGACCTCTGCTTCATGCCACTGCTTGCAACCGTGCGTCCTGTGGGGGGGAGACTCCACGTGCTTGCGACGGGCGCCAGAAACAGCCAAGAGATCTACTCGTAAGTCGGGCGTGTCCCCCTACAGGTGGATGTTCGACGGAAAGTCAACATATTCAACACATATTGAAAAATGGTTCAAAGATACCCCAAAAAAGTCACCAGGCTATCGTTTGACTATGTTTGCATTTTCCCCTTTGTAGAGGGACAGGCCCGACTTAAATCTACTCCGCGGGGGGAGGAGAGGGGGAGTGCGAGGGCCCGCACCGATCGGCAAAACAATGAATGAGACAACTATCACCTTTGACTGTACAGAACTGGCGTAACTAACCAACCTTTGACTGTATAGAACTGGCGTAACTAACCAACGCACAGCCCCACTGGTGAGGCGTCGCGACACCTGGGCGTCACGAGGACACGCCGTCCACACACTTCTCTGGAACGCACACCGAGACGAGCGAGAGGCGCGAGGAGCACAGGCGCACGGAGGAGTCGTGGTCACCTGCCGTGGGAGACCTTCGTCCTGTTTCTCCTCCCCCACTCCTCCTCCCTCCTCCTCCTCCTCCTCCTTCGCGCTCCTCCTCCTCCTCCTCCTCCTCCTCTTCCTCCTCCTCACCCTTCTCCTCCTCCTCCTCCTCCTCCTCCTCCTCCGCCTTCTCCTCCTCCTCCTCCCCCTCCTCCTCCTCGCTCGTCCTCGTCGTCCTCCTCCTCCTCGCTCCTCGCTCCTCGCTCCTCGCTTCTCGCTCCTCCTCCCCCCGCCTCCTCCTCCTCCTCTTCCTTCTCCTCCTCCTCCTTCTCCTCCCCCGTTTCCCCTCCTCCTCATCATCCCTCCTCATCCTTCCTCCTACTATCCTCTTGATCCTTGCCATAGCTTTGACGTCCGTTCCAGGAGCATTGTTTGGACTCGCACGCGCTCGATTCCTTCCTAAGATTGCCCGAGATGCCCTGAGATGGTCAAGAGTGCCTGGTTCAGGCCTCGCCAAAAAAATGCACACGTCCGAGCGCGGCCAAGCCTCTCCCTCGACCCTGGAGCCGGCGGGAGCCCCGTTTGCGCCGGCCTGGTGCTGGAGGCTCTCGGGTGTGCACGTCCGAACGCCCGGCAGAATCGCAGAGACACGAGCATACCCGTTTCCCCCCACGGCCCCCCCCTCGCAATCGCATCTGCAGCAATGGCCACGCCGACCAGTGCAGGCTGGAGCAAGTTGAAGCAAGCGAGCTCCCTCCCCACCCTTCAACTCGGCTGCACGCAGGAGTGGCCCTGGGTAAGGGTGACCTTTGGTGCGCGGCTCTTGGGGGGCCGCGGGGGGACCGACACACAAGCGCGCAAGACGCCACTGCTGCGTTCGGCGGTCGGCGATCGGGGGACCCCGCACCAAAGGTGACTCTGGCGAATGGCCACTCTTACGTGTATTGTCGGTCTTCACCGCCTCCCCCCCGCTCTTCCCCCCCCTCCCTCCCCGCCCCTCCTCCTCCCATTCCCTCCCTCCCCTCCCTTCCCTCCCCCCCTCCGTCATCCCCCCCCCTCCTCCTCCCCCCCTCCCCTCCCTCCTCCCCGCCCTCCTCCCCTCCCTCCTCCCCTCCTCTCCCTCCTCTCCCCTCCCTCCTCCTCCTCCTCCTCTCCTCTCCCCTCCCTCCTCCTCCTCCCCTCCCCTCCTCCCCTCCCCTCCTCCTCCCCCCGTCTCCCCTCCCTCCTCCCCTCCCCCCTCCCCTCCTCCTCCCCTCCCCCGTCCCCCCTCCCCTCCCTCCTCCCCTCCCCTCCTCTCTCTTCCTCCCTCCTCCCCTCCCCTCGTCTCCCTCCCCCCTCGGCCCGCCGCCTCGCGCGGGGCTCGTCGGCCGAGAGGGCCCGCGAGGCGCGCGCACCTGCCTGCCTCTCTCTCTCTCTCTCTCTCTCTCTCTCCCCCGCGACCTGCGGGTGCACCGTGCCGCGTTGGCAATCTCACGAGGCGTCGTCGATCCTCCTCCTCCTCCTCCTCCTCCTCCTCCTCCTCCTCCTCCTCCTCCTCACTCCTCCTCCTCCTCCTCTTCCTCGTCCTCTTCCTCCTCCTCCTCCTCCTCCTCCTCCTCCGCTTCCTCCTCCTCCTCCTCCTTTTCCTCCTCCTCATCCCCCCCTGGTTTCTTAGAAAGCCGTCTACGTCGCCCAACCATCTTCGGCGCGCCGCCGAGAAGGGGGTCCAGGAGGAGGACACTCGACACCCAGTGTGCACTGGAGGCGATCTCGGAAGCTCGTGGTCGCAGCTGCATGCAGCCGCTGGAGGACTCAAGCTCTCGCCCCTGCGGAGCCCTGTGGCCATTGGTGCCGAGAATCGAAAGCTGGGCGAGGGCTGCTAAAACCGTGGCTTCTATAAACGGCCCTCCCAGGAAGGAAGAGGCAGCTTCCCGGAATGAGGCGCGGCACGCGAGACAGTCAACGGGCTTCTTCCCGGAAGGACGAAGACAACTTCCGGAGGTCGAATTTAGCAGCCACGGATTTAGCAGCCCTTGCCCGGCTTCCGAGCACAGAGATCCCTGAGATGCTTGCGCCACGTTGGTAATCCCCGAGGCGTCCGCAGGTACTCCTATGGTATAGTCGACCCGTATCATAAGGATGCGCGGTAAGGATGCAAGGGCCTTGAAAGGCCGTGTTAGCGTTATTCGAGCGACGTTGCCTTGCGAAGGTCGCTGAGGACGGGCCGAAGGGGCAAGGATGCAAGGGCATCCTTGGGAAGGTTGCCCATCCTTACTATGCGGGTTGACTGTATGAAGGAGTGGCATGACTCAGAGTGCCCGCCCCTGGTGAATGTCAATGGTGTGATCGATTCCCCTCCCAGCGGAGGAAGGATCCATGCCAGGGGGGCCAGCTGCATCCCACTCGCCTCCTCAACGTGCATGCCTCTGTGGAGTGTTGGTTTTGCGGGCGCTGCGGGGCGGCAGCTGACAAGCAGCTACGGGCACTCGCAAGGCCATGCTCCGAGCCTGATCTGCCCGCAACTTGGGCTGCTCTTATGTCGGGCGTGTCCCCCTGCAGGGGAATTCTCGACGAAAAAAAACCAAATACCCTAAAAATAAACCGAGAGGGTCCACAAACATTAAAAATCGTCCCCAGATCATTTCTGGACTATCTTTTGAGCTTTCTTGGGGTATTTTCTATTTTTCGTCGACAAATCCCCCTGTAAGGGGACAGGCCCGACTTACGGCTGCTCCGGGCCTGGTCTGCCCGGACCCGCCCCAGCCGTGCCGCCACCACGCGCGGCGAACGCGCACCCGCCGCTGCAGGCGCCGCCCAGCTCGCTCGCTCGGAGAGACGCAGCGAGTCCCGCGGGCTGGCGCGCCGCCCTCGGGGCCTCCTGGGATCCTGGCATCGCCTGTTTTTGAGCAGGGGCCGACCGTCCCGGCACTCCTATAGGCCTTCCACGACATGTTTTTAGAACCCAGAAATGCTCTAAGAACAAAAAACCATGTTCGCAGAACATAAGCCCGATGTGATAAAACAAGACAGACTCCGCCAGAAATGTTCTAAGAACATTTCCGCCAGAAATGTTCTGAGAACATTTCGCGTAAACCACAAAAGGTTCTTAGAACATTGCACTGTAGGGCCATAGGCAAACCAGGACGCTTCGCCACTGCTTGATGTGTTTTCCACATCGGGCGATCTTGCAAAGTTTCGGGCCCCGGGGCCCTCACAGATCCGTCGAGCTCGGAGGAAGACGCAGAGAGATGTGGTCCAGGGCTCTGGTCATGAGTTTTGTTCGATGTTGCATTTGTTTCGCAACATCGGATCTCGGGGATGGTGCGGTACGGTGCGTGATTTTTGTTTATCGGCCCCCAGATCAGAACCAACTGTGCACCGTACCCTGTCGAAGCGGGGCCTGATCGGAGTCCAGCCATGCTGCGGTGCAGGGACGCCGTTCTTGGAGTATCAGCGAGAGGGAGGAGGCAGAGGAGGGGCAGCGCCAGCGCCGGCGGGAGGATGTTCCTTCGCTCGGCCGCCGTGGACTCGCCAGTGCACGGGCGCGGCGGCGGAGGCTGGTGCACGAAGCCCGGACGAGGTACATACGGAGACGGAGGGTCAAGGAGGATCCCAACCCGAACTATTGAGTTACATCAGCCCAGCCTTTTGGGCGGAGGTGGTGTAGCGCGTTCTCGGGAGGAGGACGCTGAGGAGGAGGAGGAGGATGAGGAAGAGGTGGTTCAGTGCGTCACCAGACGATCTTTCGCCGCACGGACATCCGCTCTGGGATGTCCACATAGGGAGCCGACGGGTCCTGACATGCCCATGAGCGGCAGGGTACGTAGGAGGAGGAGAAGGACGCAGAGACGAAGAAGCAGCAGCGGCCAGAAGAAGCTCCGCCGCGCAGCAGCGTAATTTCGCGCCCCCCCCGATGGGGCCTGATATATATATATATATATATATATATATATATATATATACATATGTACATCTATACATAGAGAGAGAGGTGTGTTACGCGGATCAAGAGTCAGGAGCAAGCGAGCGAGCCTCAAGTCTGCAGCTGTGTCACTAGCAGACCTAAGCGAGTGGGGACGGCGGGAGGGTAGGCTGAGAAGCCAATACTCCTGCGAGACTAGCACCACGGTGCGGTGCAAGGAGAGCCCAAAGCGCAGCTGTCTGGGTGACAACCACTGGGCTGTTAGCCGACAAAATGACGGCAAGGCTCGAGCGTGACTTGCCGCAGCGCAGCATGCGGATTTCTGGACTATGCGGAGAAGACGTCCACAGCTCTGTGAGCACAATGTAGCCTTGAGGCTTGCGGGGCCATTCTGCTCGAGGGGCGACCCTACGAAGAAAAAATCTGCCAACAATGGAAGGCCCCGCGGAGGAGGAGGAAGAGGAGTAGGAGAAAAGATAATCAATCACTGACCGAACTGCCAGGTCTGCGACCAGCCCGCCATTGACCAGCTCCTCGGGTGAGTCATGACTGAGCCGAGGAACTGCCAATGGGGGTCACCCGAGGAGGGACCAGCAGGAAGGCGAGGAGGACCCGGGATGCCTGCAGAGGACCAAGCAGGGAGCAAGCAGCGCCAAAAGCCTCGCCATGAGATCCGACGTCGCGAAAAAAAATCGTAATCAATCGCGACCGGCGCTCTAGACCATCTTGCTGCTCCCATGTTTCGAGCCAGATCAAGCTGTGATGGTCCCTGGGACAGAAGCCAGGCGAACTTGCCCAGCGTGACAACAAAAAACGACAATGCCGACATCTCAGGGCGAAACTCGAGCCTCGGTGGAAAAAGCACAGCGGCAGCGCGCGCGGAGGAGCCCATTTCTGGCGCCGTCACCGCGCGCGAGCCAGCGCAAGGAAGAAGCGCTCGGTGCGCGCGTCGCCCTGCCACCGGCTGTCGAAGCGCGACGGCACCTGCCCTGCTTCCCCCTCTCGGACGTTGGCGGGACTGGGTTAGTGGGACCTGGTTGACGATGTGTCCTGGGGGACGCCCCCCCCCCGCCGCCCCGTTCCACTAAGCGGAACTGCCGCCACCCGAAGAACCACCGGCTACACTGGTGGGACCCGACAGGCGGGGCTGCCGGGGAGTGGAGGCGTGGGAACCCTTCGGGGGGGGGGAGGGAGGGAGCAGAAGGAGGGAGGGCTGTGAGCAGAACGAGTAGGAGGAGAAAACGGAGGAGAGTTGGATAAAAATGATGATGGTGATGGTGATGGTGATGGTGATGGTGATGGTGATGATGATGATGATGATGATGATGATGATGATGATGATGATGATGATGATGCTGATGCTGATGCTGATGCTGATGCTGATGATGATGATGATGAGGAGGAGGACGAGGAGGAGGAGGAACGTATGAGGAGAAGGAGGAGGAGGAAGAGGAGGAGGAGGAGGAGGAGGAGGAGGAGGGGTGGGAGGAAGCCCTGGAGGAGCGAGGAGCAAAAAGTGGTAGAGGCCCGTCTAGCCAACCGTCTCCCCTTACTCAGGGTCCTGGCCATCTCCGACCCTCCCCTCCCTGGGAGGGCCAGAGGGGGGAGAAGGGGAGGGCCGGAGGGGGGAGAGGGGAGGGCAGGTCGCAGACACCCCTCGCGTCGGACCATCCTCCTCCTCATTACTCCTCCTCCTCCCGCCGGGCCCCAGGACCGTCAAACAACGACTCGGAGGAGGGAGGAGGAGGAGGCGTGGGTCGAGGCCTCTGCGGCTCCGCGCTGTCGGAAAGAGTCGTGGCGTCGGAGGCCCGGGGGGCCCTGAGAGCCGACGCTGCGACACGCTGCAGCATCTGGCAACAGCTCGCGGCCGAGGCCCCGGACCCCGTCTTGGGAACCCCCAAACCGGGTGGTGAGATACCATAGGGAGCCCACAAAGGACGTACGCGCCCAGCTATGTACATGAACATGGCCCCTCGATTCGCGAGACCGGCCGCGTTGTACGAACATTTGTGCAATGCGTGCTCTCGAAACCAACGTGGATTCATGTACATGTACGTCCTTTTTTCGCTCCTGATACCAGGTGGCGACCTGGAATCCCCCAAAAGGTCACCGCTGGGTCTGGGGACGCGGGGTCACCACCGGGTTCTGTGACTCCTGGACCCACCAGTGTCCGGGACATCCTCGGAAAACCGCACGAGTCCCCAAACCGGGTGGTGACACCAAATCGCCCGAGACTCACCGCCAGGTGTTGTCACCACCACGTTTGGGGACTACCAACCATCTTGCGACAGGTTTCGAGCCAGATCGATCTGTGAGGGTCCCGGGGCCCGAACCTTTGCAAACTCCCCCCTCTGCGAACAAACATGCGACGCCAGGGTCACGTGGGGGAGAGGAGGGGGGGGGAGAGGTGGAGGGGAGGGTGGGTAAGGGTAGGGGGGAGGAGAGAGAGCAAGCCAGGTGCGCTCGCGCCATATCTGACGTCCTACCCCTCCCTCCAATCCCTTACCATGGCGTAGATCTCCTCTCTATGTTTCTTCGGGAGTCCACTTTCCGATTGTGGAATCACTTCCGATTGTTTCTTCGGGAGGCCATTTTCCAGATTTTTGGGCCGGTTCGGAACGAACGGTAGCCCAAAAATTCGACCAGCGCTTCAGCGAGAGCAGCACTTTGGAAACAAAAACCTAAGCGCGGAAGCGCAGAAACGAGAACGCGTAGCCTGACATAGCATGCCGTGGCGACGCCCCAAAATAGGGGGCTTCTGCGGCCCAACAAATCATCGAATCGGCACCGAGCGTTATCATTTCCGATGTTTTTTTTTTTCCGGGGGGGCCTTTTACTAGATTCTGGGGCTATTTGTAAGGACCGAAAAATATGCCGTGACATGGCGCTGGAAATAATGACGCCAGCGCTGCAGCGGGAGGGGGGAGGGAGGGAGGGAGGGAGAGGGGAGGGCAGGGGATGGAGTCGGTGATGGAGGAAGAGGAGGAAAGGGCAAGCTTACCACCTTTGACCGATGCGTCTAGCCCCAGGAAACCACAGACCCAAAAAGTGTCCTAAGACTGGATGGAGGATACAGGGACGGGGGGAGGGCAGAGGATGAAAAAAAGTAGCTCAAAGGGAGAAGAGAGGGAACAGGGAGGAGAAGGGATGACAGTCCAGAGAGCAAGGAGGCGGGGGGAGAGGGCGGATGGAGGACCTGGGCTGCATCAGGCATCGAGGTGTTCGGGCTGCCCCCCCCGTCCGGCATCGACCACGTGGGTGCGCGAGAAGGTCTGGGGAATGGAAGTGGGCGGAGGGGAGAAGGGGAAGGAGAGGAGATGGCGGGGAGGATGGTGTCTTTCGGATCGGCTGGTTTTAGGCAGGTAGTGCTAACATCCGGTCAAGCTAGCAGACACAAGGAACTCGAGAGAAGGGGCGAAGCCAACTGTTGGCTCAAGAAGCGCCTGGATGCACAAGAAGCGCTAAAAAAGCAACCATGGAGGGGCCAAAGAAACAGCGAGCCCCTTCCGAAACCGAACCCCGTTCCTTGCATCAGAGTCGTCACTGCAGCGAGCTGGCGAGAGAGGACTTGGGACAAGGGAGGAGGGAGAAGGGAGGAGGCAGGAGGAGGAGGAGGATGAGAAGAAACACGATGAGGAAGATGGATGACGAGAAACAAGATGAGGAACAAGATGAGGAAGAGGAGGAGGAGGACAAGGGAGGAGGATGAAGAAAGATGGATGAGGAGAAACAGAAGAGGAGAGAGGAGGAGGAGGACGAGGAGGAGGAAGAAGAAGAGGAGGAGAGAGGAAAGAGGAAGAGGAGGAATGGGGGGACGAGGACGCCGAGGAGGAAAGCAGGTGATGTAAGTAGTAAGGTCTGGGGGGGGTCCACCTCGGCCTAGGAGAGAGGTGGAGGACTGCTGTGGAAGGTGCAGGTGTCAGGTGAGTTCCAGGAAAAGTGAGCACAGGGGGGTCGCACTAATCATACCCACTCTCCTACTCGTCCTCGCCCCTATCCCTCCTGATCAATCGTTGTTTTCGTCTGCGTCTTGAAATTCGTAGCCCTCCTCCTTCTCCTCCTCCGACTCCTGCCCCGTCGTCGTCGGTCGTCGTCGGTATCGTCCTTCTCCTCCCCCTACTCCTCTTCCCCTTCCCCTTCCCCCTCCCCCTCCCTCCTCCTCCTCCTCCTCCTCCTCCTCCTCCTCCTCCTCCTCCTCTCCTCCTCCTCCTCCCTCCTCCTCCTCCTCCTCCTCCTCCTCCTCCCTCCTCCTCCTCCTCCCCCCTCCTCCTCCTCCTCCTCCCTCCTCCTCCTCCTCCTCCTCCTCCTCCTCCTCCTCCTCGTCGTTGCCCTCGTCCTGCCCGTCGGCGTCCTCCTCATTCCCGTCGCCTGTCGTCGTCCCCCCCGCCCGCTGGGAGGAAAGGCCGGCTGTGACAGCCGCGCCTCTCTCCCTCCCGCCCGCTCCAAAGAGCGCACAGGATGTCTTTAGCAAGCACCGACCGTCCCGGTATTTGTATAGGCCTACCACGGGGTGTGTTTAGAACCATGCCCTAAGAACAAAAACTACGTTCCTAGAAAATAAACCGACGTGTTCAAACAGGCCAGTCCCAGCCAGAAATTTTCCAAGGACAGGTCGTGCAGACCACAACAGAGTTCTTCGAACATTATTTGGTGCCCCACCTTCTCGAGCCAAGCCGCTTCGACACTGCTTGAATCTCTCCCGCGGCCCATGCCGAGCCGTTGTGTTCGAAGCGGGCCCAGCGGTCTCGACTAGGGGAGGCTCTCCAGGAGGGCCTCCGGGAGGGCGGAAGGCGCCAGGGAGAACCGCCCTGGTCTCGGCTGGTCCCCCTCCTCCGCCTCCTCCTCCTCCTCCTCCTCCTCCTCCTCTTCCTCCTCCTCTTCCTCCTGCCATTCCTCCTCCACCTCCTCCCCCTCCTCCTCCTCCTCCTTCTCCTCCTCGTCCTCGTCCTCCTCCTCCTCCTCCTCCTCCTCCTCCTCCTCCTCCTCGTCCTCGTCCTCGTCCTCGTCCTCGTCCGCGTCCTCTTCCTTCTTCTCGTCCTCGTCCTCGGCCTCCTCCCCCCGTCCTCGTCCATCTACTCCTCCTCCTCCTCAGGTTACCTCTTGGGCAGCGTCATGTGGAAACAAATCCTCCTCCGTCTCCTCCTCCTCCTTCTCCTCCTCCTCGTTCTCCTCCTCCTCCTCCTCCTCTCTCCTCCTCCTCCTCCTCCTCCTCCTCCTCCTCCTCCTCTCCTCCTCCTCCTCCTCCTCCTCCTCCTCCCTCCTCCTCTGTCTCCTCCTCCTCCTCCTCTTTATCCTCCTCCTCCACCTCCTCCGCCTCATCCTCCTTCTCCTCCTCTTCCTCCTCTTCCTCCTCTTCCTCCTCCTCCTCTTCCTCCTCCCCCTCCGAAATCTACCCCCCCTCCTTTTCCTGCCCCTCGCTGGCGTTAAGGTGCGCCAGGGGGGTGCGCCGGCGAGGGGCAGGAGAAGGAGGGCGCGAATCATGATCCGAGGCATGCCTATGCGCGGACGAGGGGGGGGCACGGCAAGTGGCTGAAAGAAGAAGATGAAGCAGAAGAAACGTAAGAAGATGACTAATAAGAATTACGCTACCGAGGAGCCCCACATACTTCGTTTTTACTCTTGTCTTAGCATAGCTGACGTACAACATACGCGGATGATGCTATGTGGTCAAGGAAATGCCACTCCTGCTGAGCCATGGACGACCAGGGCGGATAGCGCCCACACCCCCAGCGGACCCCCTCGAGGAAATGCCACGCCTGCCACGCCCTGAGAGCCTGCAACGCATAGCGCCCCCACCACCAGCGCACCCCTAGTGGCGTCGAGGAAATACCACGCCCTGTGAGCATAACCATGTGGGAGCATGCAACGAACAGCGGAAGCATGCAACGCATAGCGGGAGCATGCAACGCATAGCGGGAGCATGCAACGCATAGCGCCCCCACCCCCAGCGGACCCCCTGTGGCGTCGAGGAAATGCCACGCCTGCCATGCCTTGCGAGCCTGCAGCGCATAGCGCCCCCACGCCCAGCGCACCCCCTGTGGCGTCGAGGAAATCACGCCTGTCATGCTTTGCGAGCCTGCCACGCATAGCACCCCCACCCCCAGCGCACCCCCATGTGGCATCGAGGAAATGCCACGCGTGCCATGTCCTGCGAGCCTGCAACGCATAGCGCCCCCACCCCCAGCGCACCCCATGTGGCGTCGAGTGACTTGCGAGCCTGCAAAGCATAGCGACCCCAACCCCATCTCAAGCCCTATGTTGTCGAGAAAGTGCCACGCCTGCAGTGCCCTGCGAGCCTGGAGCGTATAGAGACCGCGTTCAATGACACCCCCCTGCGCACCCCCTCTGGTGTCGAGAAAGTGCGCCACGCCTGCCGTGCCTTGCGTCTGTGTCTGTGTCGGGCGGTGTGTGGTGTGTAAGTGTCTGATGTGTGTGCGGCCGTGTCTGTGTGTGTGGTTGTGTGTGTGGTTGTGTGTGTGTGTTTATGTGTGTGTGTGTGTGTGTCTGTGTGTCTGTATGTCTGTATGTATGTGTCTGTATTGGAGGAAGGAAGAGCAAGGGAGGAGGAAGCTGTGGGAGGAGACACGGGTGCAACGCTGCAGAGAGGAAAATCATAACCCCAGTAAGCATGTGCGGAATAATGATAATGATAAGAATACGAAGAATAATGGTACTAGTACAAATAATGATAATACTACTCGTAAAAAGTTATATTAACAGACCATTGCCTAACGAGGATGTCGTGACCTGGCCATGATAAACACACACCGCTAGTTCTCACACACCTCTTCTGCCCTTCCCTGAGATCCGACGTCGCGGGAAATGATACCATTGCGAAAATCACAACCGGAGACCTAGACCCCATCTTCCTGCGGCAGTTTTCTAGCCATATCGATCTGTGATGACCACAAGCCCCGCAACTGGGCGAGATCGTCCGTTGCGACAAAATTGCGACGCCATGATCTCTGGGTTGGGCACCGCTGAATCGTCGTCATCATCATCTTCATCATCATCATCCTCATCATCACGCCATGATCTCTGGGTAAGCCTACTCCTCCTCAGCATCATCTTCCACCTCCTCTTCCTCTTCCTCCCCCCCCTCTTCGACATCTGGTGGGCTTCGGGTTGTAACTCGAGCTTCCTGAGGCCGTTCGGGAAGATCCGGGCATCTCTGGAAAGCTCTCGACGAGGCGAGGCTGGGGGAAAGACTCACCAGGCGAGAAAACCATCAAGAACCAATGAAACCTTTTCTGAAACCTTCCTCCCCTACCCCTCCGTCCCCCCCCTTTTCCTCGTCTTCCTCCTCGTCCTGGCGGCCTTGGACGTATTCTCGTCCTCCTCCTCCTCCTCCACCTCCTGCTCCTACTCCTCCATCCCGTCCTCCTCCTACTCCTCCTCATCGTCCTCCTACTCCTCCTCCTCGGCCTCGTCCTCCTCCTTTTCCTCCTCCTCCTCCTCCTCCTCCTCCTCCTCCTCGTCCTCGCCCTGGAGACGGGCCCGCTGCCGCCGCCCTTCGCCCCACCCCCCCCACTCCCGTCGAGACCTGGGCGGCGTGGCCGTGCTCGGGCCCAGGCACGCCGTGGTGGAGGGCGACGCCCTCGACGTCCTGGGGAAGACGAAGCCTGGACAAGGATAAACTCTAAACTCTGGTGAGGATACGTCAAGAATCTCTGAGATCCGGCGGCTCTGGAGCATCGCGGGCGCCACGGCCTTCTCAGAACGTTCCGGAACGCTGTGAGAGCGTGCCGGAACGGTCTGGGACGGATTTATCCTCGTCCTCGCCCCTTCCGATAAGAGGCTTTGTTTTTCTCGTTCCGCTGATGGCCAGGCAGACGAGAAGGACGAAAAAGGCGTGGGTCCAGCAGAAGATGGATGACGATTTGGCTTCGCGGCTTCTTCCCCCGCCCTCGCTGGACGACTCTCCGCTCTCCTTTCATGTCCCACTGCAGGGGTGCATTGGCTTCCCCGCCTTAACGTGAGATCAGCATCAGCATCAGCATCATAATCAGCATCAGCACCATCATCAGCACCATCATCAGCACCATCATCATCATCATCATCATCATCATCATCATCATCATCATCATCATCATCATCATCACCATCATCATCATCATCATCATCATCATCATCATCATCATCATCATCATCATCATCATCATCATCATCATCATCATCATCATCATCATCATCATCATCATCCGCATCATCATCATCATCATCATCATCATCATCATCATCATCAGCATCAGCATCATCATCATCATCATCATCATCATCATCATCATCATCCCCCTCCCACGTCCTCGTACGAATTGAGCCTTTTGGCTGCTGCCTCCACGCTACTGCCCAGCTGGTCGATCATAAACCCAAGCGAGGCGGGCCAGCCGACCCATGAGAAACAATATACAATCTTCTATGCAAAGTCTACGGTAGCGTTTTGAACATGGGCGTTTTGCAGTCGACGTGGCAAAATGCTTGGCGCGAATGGAACGGGGCGCGTATCGCGCTTGCAAACGGTCGAGATGTCGTTCTCCCGTTGGGCGCCGCGCCGATCCTCCTGAGACAGATGAGCTCATGCGAGGCTCGGCGCACATTCTTATCTCGCCGATTCCTCCGCGGGGAGGTCGCGCGCGAGCGAGCGAAATGACCCCCTCGCCCCCTGCCCCGAAACAAATTCTGCCAGAGCATGGCGTTCCCTCTTTGAGCGGGCGCATCGCGCGCGTTCATTGTTTAGCTCGCCCTGGTCGGCGGGGGCGGGGCAGCGCGTGAACGGGCGATGCTGGGCCAGACAACAAACGACACCAGCCAACCCACGGCGCCAAGCGGCGCCAGGGGGCTCAGCGTATACCAAGAGATGTTTTTGCTGGGCGATCTTCTGGCATCGTCTTTTGCCGTGCACTCGCTACAGCGGCCTACGTGCCACTGCAGCCAACTATCTCGCCCTGTGCCCCAGAACGTTCGTCCCGCTCGCTGGATCTGTCCTTCGAGCCGCCGAACGAAAAAGTATTACCAAGACATCTGGCGCAGGTGTCTGCGCGGTTTTCGCCACGGCGCCCGATGGGCCGTCGCGCAACATGGAGGGCCGCAGGCGGCATGGTGCCGGTTTTTCTTTTAATCGGTCGAGGTGTGCCGCTCTCGCCCAGGTAGCCGCGCAGAGCTCGCGTGCAGGCGGCGGGCCCGCGTGAGCGCGGCGGGCGGTGTGTGCGTCGGCAGCGGCCGCGGGGCCGCGCGCGCGAGCGGGCGGGACATGCGGCTCCTGCCCGACCGCGGCGCGCGGAGGTCGTGCAGAAGTGCACCTGCGGCTGCTAGGGGAACAACGAGTGGCATAAACATAACAACTCGGAGGTCCGCGCGGATTCCTCGGATCGGCGCTGGGGCCCCCCGGCGGCGCCTCTGAGTTTTTATGTTTAGGCCACTTTTTGTTCCCCTAAGTGCCCAGTTTCGCCACCACTGATTCTCGTGGTGTGGAGGGTGGGAGGCGGGCAGGGACCGGTGGCTCGACCGACCTCGCCAGCCTGAACCTGCTCCTCCTCGCTTCTCTCTCCTCCTCGCTCCTCCTTCTCCTCCCCCTCCTCCTCCTCGCTCCTCCTCCTCCTCATCGCTCCTCCGTCTCCTCCTCGCTCCTCGCTCCCCCTCCTCGTCCTCCTCCTCCTCCTCCTACTGCTCCTACTCCTCCTGCTCCTGCTCGCTCCTCGCTCTTCCTCCGTGCTCCTTCTCCTCCTTCTGCGCAAGACCTGCGAACGGCCATCCCAGATATGCAAACACGCTTCGATCGCACTCGCGACGGACGCTCGGCCGGCGGCGGCGGCGACGCCCACTCAACCCCGGGCGCAGCCGAGGGTACTGCTCTCCAGGGAGGGGAGAAAGAGAGAGAGAGAGAGAGAAAGAGATCGAGGGAAGGTATCGTCCTCTTCTCCCATGCTCGCTCATCCCCCACGCCAGCCTCATCTTCCTCTGCCGCCTCCTCCTCCTCCTCCTCCTCCTCATCATCATCATCCTCATCATCCTCCTCATCATCATCATCATCATCACCACCACCACCACCACCATCACCACCACCACCACCACCACCACCACCACCATCATCATCATCATCATCATCAGCATCATCATCATCAGCAGCAGCATCATGACCATCACAATCATCATCAGCATCATCATCATCAACTTCATCTTCAGTATTATCAGCATCATCATCATCATCGACATCATCATCTTTATCATCATCATCATAATCATCACCATCACCATCACCCTCTTCATCTTCAGCATCATCATCATCATCATCATCATCAACAGCATCAGCATCAGCAATAGCATCAGCATCAGCAATAGCATCAGCATCAGCATCAGCATCATCAGCATCAGCATTATCATCAGCATCAGCGTCAGCATCATCATCATCAGCATCAGCATCAGCATCAGCATCATCATCGTCATCATCATAATCATCATCATCATCATCAGCATCAGCATCCTCATCATCAGCATCAGCATCAGCATCAGCATGATCATCATCATCATCAGCAGCATCGTCATCATCATTAGCAGCATCATCATCAACATCGTCATCATCATCATCATCAGCATCATCATCATCATCAGCATCATCGGCATCATAATCATCATCATCACCACCACCATCATCATCACCACCATCAGCATCATCATCACTTCATCATCATCAGCATCATCATCGTCAGCATCATCAGTATCAACATCATCATCATCAGCATCAGCATCGGAATATCAGCATCATCATATAATCATGCTCATCATCGTCACCATCATCAGCAGCACCATCATCATCATCATCATCATCGCCCTCGCTCTGCGAGACGCATCCCTGCCAAAGCCCACCTTCCAGCATCGCCGCGCGGCGCGCATCCCCTCCTTCTCATCCTCCCTTCCCTTTTTTCGACTTGCAGCTTCCACTTGTTCCTCTTCCTATGATTCCTATTCCTCGTCCTACTCCTACTGTCGGTCCTCGTCCTCGTCCTCGTCCTCGCCCCTCGCCCTCGCCCTCGCCCGCCTCCTTCTCCTCCTCCTCCTCCTCCTCCTCCTCCTCCTCCTCCTCCTCTTTGTGTCGCCTCCTTCTCCCCTCCTCCCATCTTCTCCTCCTCTCCCCCCTCCTCCTCCTCCTACTCCTCCTCCACCTCCTTCTACACCTTTTCCTTTCCTCCTTCCCTCCTCGCTCCCACTCATCCATCGCGACAACTTCCATACTGGCCCTCCCTTTTCCTTACCGTCCTTCATCCCTCCTGACCATCTCAATCAGCCCACCTCCTCGGCTCCATCACCCCACCTCAACTACAGCCTCTTCTTCCTTTACCTCCTCGGCTCTTCCCAACCATTGAGGATTAGTACGCGTTCTGCTAGTCCTGTCCACTACTGCCCAACAATCATCCCTCCAACACCTCATGTTCCTGCTGCTCCTCCTCACTCAAGCGAACCCGCGGTGGGGCTGAACCATCTACCCCTTGAGCTGCATCATCTTCCCTCCATTTCGCCTCCTCGAGTATTACTCCTTCTCCCCCTCCTCACGTCACCCTTCCCCATGAGGACAAACTTGCGCCACGCGGCTCTCCTCCTCGTACCCCACGCACAGGCAGAAGAACAAACAGGGTTGTTTACTGACGAACGCTATATCATATCTTGCTTGCCGCGTCCAGCCTCCACAATCTCGATCCGTACACCCTGATGGAGGCGAGTGGCATTTGATTGGGGCCCGACTTCAGTGTTCTATCGCGCAACAGGCCAGCCGCCGGGGTACAACTAGACGAGCATCACAAAACCGCCGCGTGAACCAAGCCTCTTCAAAGTGAAACATGTCTACAGCTTATACGGCGCGAAAGTGGCTAAACATTTAGCCCCTTCCCTTGGACGGGGGATGCTTAAAACTTCAAGCACGTGCTTGGCAGTCATAAACGGCACTCCTGACCCATCGGAAGGTTCTGTGCCGTTCGATGCGGCAGACTAGAAGCACCATCGACAATTGCATCGACCAACTCATTCTCTTCCTGCCACCCCGCCCGTGATCCTCCAATTATCCGACCTCCGTCCCCACGCTGTCTGGCGGACACCTCGCTCATCTTCAATACTCACGGATCATCCCAGACACTTGTCAGCCCCAGGGTGAGCTCTGCGCCTGCAATTCCAGGTGCGCCGGCCAGAGAACATGACATGGGACCCCTGCACGACACGTGCCCGTGACCCTTGACGAGAGGACCTCCAACTGCTACCGCCTTCAGAGACTCCACGAGCAGAACCTCTCAACCCAGACGTGATCCGCCGACCCCGCTTGCTGGGGGTGAGAAGGCGTATGAAGCATTTGGCTGCCCTCCGTCGCCCTTTCCCCCTCCCCTGGGGTCCAAACTCTCGCTGCAAGGTTGGAGGGCCCAAGGCGGCTGAGCATGCCCCCGCCGCCGCAAGACTGCCCAAGAGACCCCCAAGACAGTCAAGGATGTTCTCAGGAGGGCCCCCCCCCCCAAGAGACCACCAAGAAGCCCCCAGAAGCCCTCAAACCTCGCACGTGACCTCCAAACGGGCCTCAAACAAGCCGCCGCCGAGGCCTCTAAGAGGTCCTCGAGAAGCCACGTAACAGACTAGGAGGAACAAGTTGCCAAGCGAGACATAACTACACGCATGCAGCACAACGGGGCACGGCAAACAACGTACAGCATACGAAATCGGAGGCCGCGCATCTCCTCATCTGGGGGTCGGCGGAAAAGCGCAAGCCTCTAGAACAACCCGATACACAGAAGCACGCAGAAACGAATAGGATTCCCCATATGCTTTCCCATATGTTCCGGGTTTTTGTCTCCCCCCCACTCCCCCTATTTCCATATATTTTCCTAGGAATCGACGATTCATTGTGTCTGTGTGTTTTTTAACCTCCTGACCTTGGTCCCGCCTACTTAAGGACCGCATCACAGAAATAATTTCGAGCACCCAGAAAATGTCAAAAGGGTGTCGAAAGAGTGTCGAAACAGTTTCGGGCGAGTGTCTCCCAGGGCCCGACACGTGAAAACCCTTGAGTTTCGGTACTTTTTTGGGCGCTCGAAATTCTTCCTGGTGATCAAGGCTAAAGTAGGTTGGAACATCATAACCCTTGGACCGTCGCTTCGGCACTCTGGCCTCGTGCGCTCGCATACACAGTCGGCCCGTATCCATCCCAGAAGGATGCGCGAGAAGGGTGCAAGGGCCTTGGACGCTCATGTCTAGGCGTTTCCGAGCGGGGCGCGGCCAGCGAAAGCGGCCGAGGATGGACCGAGGATGCAAGGATGCGAGGGTTGGAAAGGTTACCCATCCTTCCTGTGCGGGTTGACTGTGCATATAACAGTGTTCCTCCCCCCTCTCTGGGGGGAAAACGTCTGGGGAGGGGGCACTGGCGCAAGGGGGGAGAGCATCGACCTGGCATCGGCGGTGCCTCCCAGTCAGATCGGCGACAGGCCCCCAGTAGGGAGTCCGCAACGCTCCTGGGCTGGATGGGCCAGTGGGCCCCTATCGGCGATGAATTGGCGACTCGGGGTTGATGCATCCCCCCCGGAGCAGTTCACCACCAACGCTGCCCCCGGTGTTCAGTGTTCATCGGGGGCGGCCAAGAGGGGGGTGTTCAAGAGGGGGGGGTGCAGATCCTGACCGGCGGCATGTGCGCGGCCCAGCGGGGGGCCAGGGAACGGAAAGAAATAAGAGGAGGCACCCTGAGATCTGGGGAAATATCATGGCCCACGCCATGATATCCACCCCCCCCTAGTCATCTCCCCCCTCGTTTCCGCCCCTGGTGTTCAGGTCATAGTCCATAGTTGGGCGCCCGAGTTATCCGGGGTAACTCGGGTCCGGGGTAACTCGGGTTTGGATTCCCGAAAAAGGAACCCGAGTTAGCCCTGACCCCAGTTACCCCTGATGATTCGGGGCTCTGGACGCCCGAGTTATCGGGGGTAACTCGGGTCCGGGGTAACTCGGGTTTGGATTCCCGAGAAAGGAACCCGAGTTAACCCTGACCCGAGTTACCCCTGATGATTCGGGGCTCTGACCTTATGTCATCGCCCCCCTCTTTTCCGCCCCCGGTGTTCAGGTCATAGTCCATTAGCTCGGCACCCTGGCCGCCGTTCGGGGCGACGCGGGCGCCCCGGGACACGCCCTCCGCGAGGCGCAGCCGCTGGAATGTGCAGCCCCCCGAGGCCGGAGCCCCGCGGAGCGCCAGGGCGCAGGCGCCCGACCACCGCCGAGAGCCGACGATATGACGGCACGGAGGCCCCGGGCAGAGCTGCGCAGGGGCCAGCCGTCCCGGCATGCCTATAGGCCTGCCACGACGTGTCCTCAGAGCCAACGCTCTGCCTGAGAAGGAGAGCCAGGTCCTGAGAGCACGAGCCCGACTCATGGAAACAAGACGGCCAGAAACTCTCCGAGAACACGCCGTGCCAACCACAGGCGGTTCTTTGAACATTCCGTGGTGGGCCTATGGGCAGGCCAAGACGCTTCGCCACTGCTCGACAATCGGCGCCACCCGTCTGGGCCCCGCCTCGAGGTCCCCTGGCGGGCCGGCGGCGGCCGCCCGGCCTCTCACTCGTAGTGGGGCCGGGCGCGGTAGCCGGGGCCGCCTGGGCCGCCGTACTGAACCTGCCTGGGCCGACCCCCGGGCCGGCCGCCCTCCACGGCGGCCTGCTTGGCGGCCTGGTTCAGGAGGTAGATGCCGCCGCCGGCGACGGTGCCGTAGATGGCGACGAGGTAGGTCCCCACCGTGGCGAGGCCCGCGATGGCCACCAGGAGGAAGAAGGCGAGGCCGGACAGGGCAGACTCGCCGTAGGACACTATCAGGGTGTAGACGTTGTAGACAAAGAAGAAGAGCATGCCTATGAGGCCCATCGTCAAATTGACGATGTACTGACCTACCAGCTTCAGTATAACCGTGACCAGCGTCTCATCCCTACCCCCCACAGCCATGAATATCGCATCGTACATTGTCCTCCAACCCTCGCTTCCGGGGGTGACAAGGCGCTTCTCCTCCTCCTCCTCCTTCTCCTCTTCCTCCTCCTCCTCCTCCTGGTTCCCCTCCTCCTCCTCCTCCTCCTCCTCCTCCTCCTCCATTAGCAAGCAGGGGGAAGTACGGGGGAGGGAGGAGCACGGGGGAGAAGGGGGAGCAGGAGGGAAGGAGGAGGAGAAGGAGGAGGAGGAGAGGAAAGAGGAGGAGGAAGACGAGGAGGAGAAGGAAAAGGATGCAAGGCGTTCCTGCTCCACCCTTGCCCTTCCCTTGCCCCCCCCATCCCCAGGGGCGCCAGCTCCAGCTGCCAGCACAGCTCGACACGAGCTCCCCTGCCCCCCTCCCCACCTGCTTCCCACCCCTACCACCATCCCCCTCCCCCTCCCCCTAGGCGATGACCACGCTAGCCATGCCCCTGCTCACGCCCACGAGGGACCGAGTTTGGGATGCATGCCCTGCAGGCAAGCCGCTGCCACAAACAACGCTGCAGAGACAACGAAACCCCCTGCTGGACCAAGAGGCGCCCGGGTGCAGGAGCGCTGGAGGAACGACAATGGGAGGACGGTAAGAACGGCGAGCCCCTTCCGAAGACAGACCGTTCCTCACTCCAGGGTCTTGAAATTCAGCGTCTGGCCTTCAGAGCTGGCGGCAGCAGAGGCACGGATAGAATGTTGATCGCCGATCTCCACCCCACGGGCCCATAGTCATCGTCGTCCTTCTCAACCACACTCCAAACCCACTCTCATTTGAACGTCTGAAATGTCGAAATGGGTACGGACAACAATGGGCACGATGCCCAACAAGAATTGTTGTCTGGAACCAACAGTGGCCACTGTTGGGCAGGCGGCATTCTGTCTCAGATGTACAGTTTCCGCGGCGACACCGACAGCAAGTCTCGTTCAACATGAGCAGGAACTGCCGTCGGTCGTTGTGCCCATTCTTGGCGTACTCATTTCGATCGTCCCGATCTCAGGGCGCCCAGCGGAAGCTCCAGGGATGACCCGGGCGGCCCAGTCCTTGCCAGATTGCCACGCGCTCCAGAAGGCCGCGCGCACCTCGGCCACGCCGAAGGTGGACCAGATGCCCACCTCGCTCCTGGCCTCGGACATGATCTGGTCGCGCTTGCCCTTCACCTGCTGCATCCTGCTCGTGGCCATATTGTAGCTGTCCCTGTTCCGCTCGCACGTCCTGTCGCAGGAGAACCACCCCTTGGAATTGTAGTAGCGCCTTTCCGCGTGACTCATCTCGATCATGGCCTCGTTCAACTCTTTCCTGTCCACCTTCTCGGCCGCTCTGAGAGTGATCTCGTACCGCTCCTGGGTGTCCTTACTGACGGCGAACCCGTTCGCGAACGCGGCGAGAAGCAATCCCAGTGCCCACAAAGAGACGGACACCGGCCGATTCTTCACCACGCTCTTGGCCGTTGAGACTGCTAGACCGCCAAAGTCCACGGGTTCCACCCTCTGCACGGAGTCGTTCGACCTCTGCGCCATCTCTGCCCCCTGTGGGGTTCACCACAACGGAGCTAGTCACAACATTTGAAGCCTGTCTGCTCGTCGCAGGTATTTACTTAGCTCCCCTCAGCCCAGGCTGTCCCCCAAGTGCTTCATCACGCTCTGGATTCCACCCCCAAGTTCTCGGGCCACGCCCGATAGGTTCACAAACCTCTCAAGACCACATGCCATCCTGGGAAACCTAGCTGAGCGATTCGCGCCGCTAGAACCGCAAAAGGCAATGACCTTCAAGCTCTCACAGCGCTACCCAAAATGACATCTGGACGGCCTCGACCGTCAAGCGCGAAGCGCGGTTATAGTGGTGCCGCTCCGCGTGACCAAAAGCCTCCCAAATAATGAACAGATGTACTGGCCTCAGACCAGTCCCAAAGATGGCGTCCAGATAGCCTCAAGGATCGCCTCCAGGTTCCTCCTGCAGATCACCGAAGTAACTTCAGGCTTCACGCCGAGCGAAGCGCGGATATTGTCGTTACATTGCAGGTTTCCCAGTTCCTGCGAGACCTCCGAGAAGTCCTAACTCTCCCCAAACATCAACGCACAACATCTCTTGTGTGAACGCCTCTCGCCCAGGACGACCCCGCTTTGAGACAACCCGGGCACTAGGCCTCTTGGGGCGTCTCGGACTCGACTCGGAGCATCCGTGGGGGCCCAACCATTTTTCCACACAACAGCGGAGCGCCGTGGCGCCAGCGATGCCTCGCGAGGCGGGCTAGGCGTCGTCGCCGCTGGGAAACAGCAAAGAAGGCATGCCAGCACCTGCCGGAGCTCCGCGCGGACTTCTCGGATCGGCCTCCCTGGCGCGCGGAGCGCGCCCAGGGGCGGCGAGGCACGCCGCCAGGGAGGCCCGGCGCCGATCCAATGATCCCGCAGGGAGCTCCGGCAGTTTATATGCGCCTCCTGCTCTCTGTTCTCTCGGAGTCGCCGCCGCCGCAGGTCCGCGTCGCCGCCGTCCTCGCCGTCGGCGCCGCCGCCGCCCCCCCGAGGAGGTCTGGGGGCGCCCACTCCGCAGGGTGTGGTCTGCACAGGGTGTGGTTTGCTGCCCGCACCCTGGGGGGCGAGCGAGGGCCTCGACAGAGCTCCCCGCCGCGCCCCGACGAGTGCAACAGCGCTGAACCTCAACGGTGTTTTTCGTGTTCGTTTCGTTTTCGTGTTCCCTCCGTTTTGGCTTCAATCCGCCTTCACCGCAAAACGAACTCGAAACGCAAACGGCCGACGAAATCACCGAAAACACCGCTTAGGTCCAGCCCTGGAGCGCAACGTGTTGCCCCTCTGCGCGGAGATCTGACGCTGCAAAAAGCATGCAACATCGCGAAAACTCACGACCGGAGCCCTATATAGACCGAGCCCTTCTGCGTCATGCTTCGAGCCGGATCGTTCTGTGAGGGCCCCGGGGCCCGAAACCGGGCGAAGACGCCCAATGTGAAAACAATGCAACGCCCGGATCTGAGGGAAGCCCCAACGACGCAGATCACAAGCCAAACTCTGGCGTCGCCATACCCTTCGCAGTCCCCGATCCTCGATCCTCGAGCTTCGATCTTTGTTTCCTGCCTCGAGCCTCGAACCTCGATCCTCGAGCCACGATCCTCGATGCTCGAGCATCGTTTCGAGCATCGAACCTCGAGCCTCGAGCCTTTGCAGTCGCCGATGGGGGCGCCTGGCCCCCGAGCTGGGCGTGGGCGGCGCGGGGGCGGGCGGCGGCGCGTAGGGGGAGGGGGGCGGGGCCCTCGAGCTCGGGGTGGGGGAGGAGGAGAAGGAGGAGGAGGCGGAGGAGGAGGAGGAGGAGGAGGAGGAGGGGGAGGAG